CAAACATCATCTACAAAATAAACTGTGCCAACTGCAAAAAACACTTCATTGGACAAAACGGGCGTTCTCTTCATCGTGCATGAACATCAATTAGCAGTCAAACATCATTATATGTCTTCACTTATATAAATGCACGTGGACAACTGTGGACACACATTCGACTGGAAAAATGTGGAGAATTCGGATAGAGGCAATTCCGAAAACACCAGAGAATTTTTAGAAGCTTGATGCTGAGGTCAATCAGCAATATACAAGCACATTGAAATCAATCCAATTTATCAATCAATCAGAAGAATTATGCACAAACATAGGAACACAAATCAAACCAGTGGGAGATACAATCAAAACAATGATAGATTTAAGATCAACAAGGACTAACCGACATCAAGGTGTACAGGAAAGCTGTGAACTGCATGTGGAGAAATTCAAACACCACTTCTACCCGAGGTTTTTGATTATGATGTCGTTCAGAAGAACGACGAAAGCCATACGACCAAACCATCCAGCTCAGAAAACAAAATTCCATCCTAATCACCCACCTGAGCTACAAATATTCTCTACCATTTCAAAATCATATGAGCGTAATACACTTCTGGTTGTTCAAAAATGGGAGAATTTCGCCAAAAGGCTGGCTTCCACCAAAGAACACCTGTGTTTTGTCTTAAAGTGTCCTCGTCATCAAGAAGTTTAAAATACAGACTTCCAATCAACTGCCTAATGCGATAAAGAATTGCTGAGCAAAGTGGAGGAAAAATGGTACACCTAATGATAACGGATTCACATTAAAAAAGATCCACAAATACCAACGTCATAGAGGAATAAAAAAGGAAGCTACAAAGCATACTCACGACAGAATATTTGGAAATCTTGACCACAAACATTGAGGCATCATGCAAACGACACAGAGAACAAAGAAAAAACTAATCATGATCTCAAAACCACCCATAGAAGAAAACATAAACAACTCAGTGGTCACCTTGTTAAAACAGCCACTAGCAAACTCACACTTACCGGGAAGTACAAGTGTTCCCGCGTTCAACGTTTTGATATACAGGAGATCAAACCATGATGTAAGTATTCTCATTTGCTACGTGATAAGCAATCAACAATATACGCAAGTGCTTTACCACCGGTAAGACCTACCTCTATACTGATGTCTTGAAAGTCATCTATAAAACTGACTTCTGCGATGTAAGTGGTGCTATACAAGCAATCCAACATGAACTCAGAATGGTAGACAACTGGTATAAACGCTGAAGGTTAGAGCTCAACACAGATAAATGCAGTCGGCTATGTACTGGAGACTATGTCTCTCAAAATAAAACTAGCTCTTAGCAAGAACACACTGTCCAGACTGACATCAGTAACTGACCTACGGGTACATTACTCAGACAGTTTTAACTTCTCAGAACATATCTCAACCAAAGCATCTCAAATGCGGAGATTGCTTGGCTTCGTTCTTCGTAATTTTTTTCAAAACGAAACTAAAATCATTCTTTTTATAAAGTCTGTGTCAGATCTGTCATCGAATACTGCTAGTTCTTTTTTTTCAAACTTCTTCCTCACCAAGTATGCATTATTATGGAACAATCTTCCCTCTACAATACGCATGACAGATAAATTACATACATTTGTAGGACTTATTGATCAAGCCGCCACTTGCACAGATCTAGCACATCTGCGTCTCACAAAAACATAATAGGTTCTCTACATATATAAACTAAATTGCCTTATTTCCCTCCTTTGTAGTTGTATTAGATACTCCACACACCTAATTTTTTTAAAGTGAAATAAACAGTCAACTCACTGGATCTATCAATACTCGGTCGCTAAACGACGCTCACAAATACCCTAAAAAGTCAAAAGAAACGCACAATCGACTGCCTACTACCAGTAGTCGTACCTGTTACCCATCAACCAGTTAGGATAGGATAAAATAACATCAGCAATAATTTAATGTGAGTTCCTTCTTGTTTATTCTTTATCAACTTTTTACTCTCCTGTACACTATGTTACATTGCCGATAATATTATTTCAGCACTCCTTATCCTACCTTATCTGTAACTAATATATATCTACACTTTCCCACCTACTTTGGTAAGCAACTATCCTACATTATACTCTTCTTAATGCCTATAATCTGATTGGCAACCTATACTATGGTCAATTAAAGCATTGCATCGAAGCCTTACACAGTCCATAATTTGTAACTGTCTGATAAGCTTGTAAAATGGTACTTATGGAAATAGTATTTTCCAACAGGATGTGAAACACAGAGCATTGTGTGAGGTATGATATATATCCAAAAAAGCTTAAATGAGCCTAACATCACAAAAGGAGGGAGGGTGGAGTTACTGACCATCAAGCGTTGATGGTGAGGGCCATGACTTCAATCCACTCGTGTTTGTAAGGCAGAACATTTGGTTTGTATCTGGCTCTTTATACATGAGAAGAAATCAATCAATCTGTGACATGGAACTTGTTCTCCTACACTCACTATTCAGACTCATGTTTCTAATTTTATGCTGGATTAGCTATTTTCTTAAGACAACCTATAACATGCTAACTCGGACTTTTACATTAAAACTGTGTGGCAGGCATCGGATGAAGAAGGCGTCGTAGCACATAGTGTCGAAGCTATCTATTTATTAGACGACCTACGTCTGACGGCTTGAACTAGAGTGCTCAGCCGATGGTATATTTACTAAGACTAGTATGGTCAAAATAACTGACTTGCAAAAAGCTACCGACTGCGGCGATTCATCTGCTAATTTCAGTAGTCTGAGAAAGGTAGCTAGTCTAAAAATGTTGAAGAAGGCAGTAACAGTCAAACATAGGCTTCAAAGGAAGACGTTCTTTGGTACCATTATAAGTTATTTATAAGATAGGTTACTAAACCATTATGTAACCTCTTTCTCACAAGCCAAGGGTGAGATGTCAAACATGCTAGAACCCAGTAGTGTAATAGTTAATAACGCCGAAACCATAAAGCTCCCATCTAACAAGTGTTTACAGAACCTCAAGTTATAACTTGTAGCTCATACCAACTATTTAACCAAGATGTACATTACAAATTTATGGAGGTTACGGTAGAGCCAAAAGTAGTTGGCCTATCAGATTACCAAAGGGCTTAAATCTCTTCAGGGACGGTAGCTACTCGAACACTTTCTGTCAGTACGATTTTCCGCATGAATTTTGACCTCTGATTGATTGCCAGTTTTTCCAGTTTGCCAAATTGTTACATACCTGAAGGTCATATTCTGCTACCATAGTAGCAGCTTTTGTACCAGTTTCGTCACAGTTGCTCGTCCTATAAAAAATATCCACTACATGCAATCTCGTTTTCCTGTATAGGCTGTCCAGGTTTGGTATGTTGGAAATGTTTAACCGTTGTCGTCTCCAAAGAAAGCCGATCACATTAGAGTAGCTCAATCATTTTCGTTCCTTAATCCGTAACATCTTGGGCCACAGTGAACCCCAACAACGAAGCACAACAATAATACATTATAGATCAGAGGGGGTTTTGTGGAGAATTTAGTATTTTCACAGTTGAAATCATGAGTCAATTGAAGCTAGACCACCATCGAAAACCTGGAAGCACTGGACGGCCGTTTCGTCCTATTATGGGACTCCTCAGCAGTGCGCACTGCATTAGACTAGTGCATCCCCAACGTTGGTGATCTGTTTGAGTGTCATTGAAGCGTGATTTCACTTAGAGCAGTGACAGAAAAAAGCTCTCCACTTATTTTTTAAATTTGAAGTTTACTTGCACAGCCTGCTTTGAGTATAATACACAAAGCACAACATCGGAGTCAAATAATTACACTGGTCCAGGTATCTGGGATAGTGTTATGGCAAAATAACATCGTTGTTATTGATGCTAACAACCATGTAGAACGTTCATTTAGAAGAATAATTTCTATATCACACTTCGTAAGTATGAACATATACAGAGACTGTGGTTAGTTTTGTGAAGAAGTATTCAGGTTAGACGGAAGTTTTCACACATTTACTGTACATTAATTGCCGAAAACGAAAATGACATGACATTGAAGTACTAAGAAATTCGAATCACATGTTAACTTGTGAGGCAACTTTAGTAAAAAAAGGATAAAAACATTATTAAGCATGGTCACCGCATATGTAAACGAAGTTTAGAAGGTGGAGATAACCTAGCCATTTTGTGAAAATCCGTTTCTGAAGGTTTAATTTTTATCATTAAGTAACATATTACGTGCGGTAATGCGACAGTGCCCAGTAAAGGTATACATTTTTACTCAATAAATACACATAATTTCGACTAAAACGTGACAGAAGTGGAAGAATATATAGCCATACTACGAAGTATCTTTCAGATAGTTCCTTTACTTCATACTTCAGTCTTTCTGGCACCGTGGCTGAACAACTTCCCACGGTGTACAAATTTCAGAAGACAATAAGAAGCCACGACCTAAGTTTAATACCGTACAGCACAAATCGGAAGACCACTAAACACACGGAGCGAATAAAATTAAATACAAATTTATGTGAATGAATGGATAATGTCCAGGAAGCTCATGTTCACAAGCAAAAAAGTCAATGAGCGGTTTAAATAACTAAAATTTAAGTTAGTAAAAGAAATGTGTGAGCTGCGACACGTGATTGAAAGTATATAATCAAATGAGCATGTAAATAACAGTATAAGTAAATAGGAACATAGTCGAAAACAGGAAAGACACTTTTTCATGTAAGTTAGAGAGGTTAGTAATTTTACACATACACAAAATGAAGTGTACATGAATAGGCTAGAAGTTTTTCCTGCTTTCTCATAGACAAATTCCTACATTGGGGCACAACTTATCAAATAATATTAGAAATGGAAGCTTGCTAAACAGGCAAATCTTCGATTCTGTCCTCTGTCCTTTAATATACTTGGACTTTCTAGAATTTGAAACGTAGTGTGTAACTGTTCTGTATTTGAAAACCATTAGATGATTGAGTAGGGCATTTTAAATTATCTTCGAACACAAACCAAGCTCTTAACGTCTTCGGACATCGTTTTAACAGCTTAGAGAAAGAGTGTTAGATCTATTGTTTCTAATAATATAGTTTGTTTAGTTGACTCGGAATAGCACAATTGTAAATTTACCGCCGGTTTAGAGATTCGTAGATCAGCTGCGGCAACCATGTTGCGATAAGGTTTTACCTTCATTGTATACCCAATCAGGTTTTTAAAATCCCAAGAGTCTAACACTTTAGTAAAGAAAAGTGTTTTAAAACCCCATTTTGTTCATTTAATCTCCCATATTAATTTGTTGGGACATCAGCGTATGTTATGGATCTGGATCGTCGAAACAGCTATCGCCAGTCAGAAAACTCTCATAAGCATGGGAATGTGATTCAAAAATGTAGTGCAATGTATGAAGCAAAAAGGCCTCTGGGTGACCGCACTGTTCTGGGAAACTTAACAAATAAACAACGGGTAAATTTCACATTTCTTAACAATATGTTGTACTAGGACGATTTGGCACGTGAGACATGTATCGGCTCTCACTTCAATCTAAGTAAGTTGTTTACGGGTGAAGTTATGGGTTATTACGTTATACAACGAGGACGTGCATAGAGTATCATGTACAACTGCCACTCTCGAAGTGTTCAGATATTTCAGTTTGTGAATTTATGACTCACCCTTATCACGTGTTCAAAAACACGTCAAATTTTTTTTTAGAAACAAATTCATCTAAATTTTTAAGGTCATAGAAAGTGGATTACTAATTCATAAAGTCACTTCTCATTGTATCATCCTCAGTCAAGAATAAGACTCGGTGATGTATACGGCTTTATAAGATTGTTTGTGGACGCATGTTATTTCTTTTTCATAGACATTTCTTAGATAATCCTGGCGGCAATTACATCTTCGTGTCACAGTGTTCAACTTAATTTGGATAAAGTAGTCGTAAATATACATGGGAAGGATTTGTATATGTTATGAGCCTACAACCTATTACATGATGGTTCCTAACTACTCAGTGTTATCTTATTGACCATGTTATGCAGGGCGTCTGAAAAACCAAATAGTGGGATGCTTTCTAATTTTCGTTCTATGCTTTTATGGTAGATGAGAGCAATTACTAAGTAACATGCTGGTGAGTCCAATCGTAGTCTTAATCAACACGCTTCTGGTCGTGAAGTGCTAATTGTAGTTTCATCGAAATAGAAGTTGTCAATGTAACGTCCTGAAAACAATTAAGAACTTCGAAAGACCACATTATCAATTGTTTGGAGTAGTATCGAAACTAACAATTACTACTGTCACAGTGACCCTTTCATGCCCATCTTTGCTTATTCTAAGTACCACTTACCCATCGATTCGTAATTGAAGTGTTTCTTTTGAAACAACTCGTTTGGTAAGCATAAGTTTCATGTATTCAGCTACAAAACACTGGTGTCTCACGGCTACCGAAATAGGTGAAGTTAGGTTCAAGCATGCCACCAACTGGTTGGAATGCAAGTGTTGTAAATAACAACCCACCTCTGCATTGGCCTAGTACTACATCAGAAATCAAGTCTCGGGTTTTCCTAAAACCACCTTCTTTCACTATATATATCAGACCACCGGTCATTTTTCGTTTCTGGTCTTTAATAATCAGGAACTAGATGTAAACTCCCTCTAATCTGAGATAATGTAAAACAGTAGTTTTTAACTCGTCGTTTGTATAGGTCGTCTAAAACAACAAACGACCAGTAAACGAATGACTGCCTCCCACTCTGCTTACATGGTGTGGGAAAATAGCTGAAGATGTTCCTCGTCATTTCTTCCCTTGATAACTGACTTGCATTAATCTCTCGTCAGCGGCTATCACACAGCTGAGAAGACTTCCAAGTTTTTAATCCCTGAAAACAAGATAAATCTCTATAATGGGAGAGTGGTATTCAATAATTAATCTGAAACGTACACGTGGTCATTCGAATTACCACCTTCCTGCCACATAAGTCAATAGTATTCTAATATTTTGTAGGCTTTTGTGAATATATCATATTATTATTTAAACACAAATATTGGTACAAGGGGGCACCGGATACATATGCGCCGCACGAATCTCATTTGATTGGTGTGAGGGCTGTGATACTGCCCGGGTTCCCAAACCGAAGCAGGTGGCTTTCTTAGGGGGCCGCACTCCGAGCCTTTGACCCAAAGATCTGATCCACAAGGCAGTGAAGCATCGTAAGGAGATGCAGTCCCAATGTAGCCGGTGGCCGACGATTAATTCATACGCCATTTGTCCCCTCAGGATACGAGCCCATGTGCACCATTGGTTTTGAATCATGGTTTTCCAACTCCCCTAGGTGGACTTTCCGTGTCCACCAGTCCGGTTAAAGCGCCAGACATTCGCTTTTCGTCTTCTCAATTTTGTAAACAACACCCCGGTGTGAGAAGGCAGTGAGTAGGACTTGTGTGGCAGAGGCTATATACGCATGGCCATATGAGAGCATTTGGAGAGGGAGGGCAAACTATCCCCATTGTCGGCCGTACCAGGGCATTTGGGGGCTGAAATAGGAACAATACTTAGTTTACCATTGACAATCGTCAAGCCAGTAAATGCAAGCAACAGTATGTTAGCAGTCATGCCAATTTTCAACAGCGATTAATCCTATCTGCAATCCCAGTACAGTTAGTTTTTTTACTATGACAGTAAAGTAGTTCGTTTCCTTAAGAAATAAACTTCGAGGTATTGAATATTATGTGGTGAGGATATGTTACTGAACACAAATTTTCTCAAATTCTTATTCAGATTTTCTTACATAATCGGAAGTTCAATTATCTCAGGATGCAAATTGTCTGGTTGTTTGTTAAAGTCTATCCAATACCATTCTAAATAAATTTAAACTGCTAAGTACACTTCATATAACGATTTTGTCGCTAAAAATACATTTGAGTAATTGGCATCCTTAAAGAGATTTTCGGTTATGTCAGAAAATGTTTCATTTCTTTCCAAATTGTACTCAGGGTTCATTTTGTGGCTAACTAATTTTTCTAACATTCACTGAGGATAGATTAAGGCTTAGTGTAGGTGTATTAACCTCGTATAGGCTCTCTTTTCGAACACTATTGGTTGAGTCAGAGCTTATGGGAAATTGTCATTGGAATTGGTAACTTCAAGTAGTGTTTGTCAGCGTTCTGTAGGGATCGAGAGACCTAGTGGTCAGAGTGTGCTAACGAGTTGGAAGCATCAGCTGCATTTGGTAAAAGCCGGAAGTTCTTTCAACTTATCCAAGTCAGTGGTGTGAGTAAAACAATCTGTGAAGATGACGGATGCTAATCACCAACATCTATCGACGCCTTGGACGATAGACAGTTCTCCGGGGATCAGCTCAACTGGTCTGCTGCTCCAGAAAAATCGAGAAAACTGTCCTACCCCCCAAGGTCTGTGATGACTTACCCACCTAGCTCTTGAAGCGCTGCAAATAATCAAGCCCAGGTGATTTGCCTCCGGCCTCTTTTTAAAGGTGATGACGACTTTCAGGTCAAAGAACCGACTGAGTTGTCTACAAAGGTCTGGTGATTAAAGAGTGTCTCAACATTATGGAATGAGTCGATCGTTGTCCTTATCTTTTAAAAAGGTTCACTTCGTTTCTGTAACAACTATCGGAGGATAAGTCTGTCTCTAAACTATTGGTTTCCGTCATACTTCGTAGATTGTTCAGAACCTAGAAAAGATTGACTCACGAGAAGCAGGCTGGTTTTCGTTTTGATCGTTGATATATTGTTCATACCTTCACCCTCCACCAAATGTTAGAACATCATCATACTTATTGCAGGCTAACAATCGTAGAGTTTCTTGCATTTTGGGCAGCCTCCGATTCGTTGGACAGGACTTCTCCAGGATAATCTGTTGTAGAAGGGTGCGCCTGAGAAGTTAATTAACATATTGATGGCCCTGAATACTAACTCAGACAGAGTGGGAGCGTACAAGCACCTCTCCACTGTTCCATTCAAGTAATGAGGATAGGCAGGGTTGCCCAATCTCACTATTCCTCTTCAACTTTGCCATCGATGACGTTCTGGAAACAGCTCTGATGAGTGTAGGTAAAGGTGGTATTGATCTGTTGCCCGGAGAAACACTTTCCAACCTTGTCTATAAGCACGATATTGTCTTACTGTGTGATGATACCCAAGTCATGCAATCCCCACTTAGTCAGTTGGCGATTAGTGTCCATAGATATGGTGTGTGCTTTGTACCTTCAAAGTGCAAGGTACATTTACAAGACTGGCAGGATCCTGAACCTGTACTCACTCTGGGTAGTGAGCAGGTAGAAGTCGAGAAGTTCGTGTGTCTGGGTAGCTGCATAAGTGCTGGTGGTGGTGTGAGTTATGAGATAAATTCACGTACAGTGAAAGCCAGAACGGTTTATGCCGATATGGGCCATATTTGACGCCTTCTGGTTGTAGAAGACCGGATCTACAACGCGTCAGTGAGAGCAGTTTTGCTATATGCTTCGGAAGCCTGACCTCTCCGAATTGAGTGTTAGACGACTCTGTGTTTGATCATCGTTGTCTCCGAAGAATTGTTGACACCCAGTGACAACACCGTGTTAGTAATGCGGTGGTTTGGCATCGTGCGTTCGGGCACAGCGACGATAATCCAATTGGTGTCACTATCTTTAAAAATCGACTTCAGTGTCCTACAAATGTCGTCCCAGAGAATTCCACGCCGTGCATTATTTGCCGACTCTGGGACCGGTTGCATAAGCATAGAGGTGGTCAGTGTATGATATGGTGTCATGGTATGCAAGAAATATGTAAAGGACTAGCTTCTGTCGTTCCTTCACTACTCGTTGGTTGGGGTCCTAGAGATGGTGCAACACTGTCTAGAGATGTTATCAGATATGGCTCAAAATAGAAACCAGTGGCGATCCTGCTGTTACTTTATTTTACTTTCTTCGTATAAGTAGACTTAGCTTTAACTCAAAGAATTGCTGGCTGTATTTCCACTCATAGGCTAATTTCTGTTTGTTGTTGTTCTTATTATACTCACTTCACATTCTCTATCTCTTCTCAACCTCATTGCATTGCACGTATGTACTTGGTGCCCTCTTGTATTAATGTGTATGTGTTCAAATAAATAGTTGTTTCTTCTTACCATATCCATTTTCTTGAAAATCGTATGTTAATATTTTGTCCAAACACTAATGTTCATCCACATTGATATTTACAATAGCTGACTTTCTGCTAAATCCTAATGTAAGCTACAATACTAAAAAGTCATGTTTTGTGTTTCCCTAAATCACTAACAGGATGTTCTTTTAAACAGATGAGGTTGTATGACCCATCTGGAAAGTGAATTTTACAACTAGAATACCTTACAGTAAATAAAGAGTTAACCAAATGCTGCAATCCCTAAAGTATTTATTAAAGCATACACTCATCCAATTTGTTCAAGGAGTTTTTTTTTAATATTCAGTAATTCATTGCTAGTCCATATGTTGTGAAGTTGTCGACTTAATCTGGTTTGTTTTTATTTCCGAAACTTTACTAGTTCACAAAAATGGGAAGTTGTTAAACACAGAAGCCAAATATTCATCGGTAATTTCAACTGTATTGGGCCATAGTGATTTGAACTCAACATCAAGTGCAGATAGTGGTTATGACAGCATAAACACGGAATCGACTGTTGTGGAATCCAAACTTACATCCAAATCGTTAACACAATCACTTTTGTGCTGTAAGTCATCGAATTCCGAACAAGTATCAATATCGAAACGGCCTCGTTATGACGAATCTGATTCAACTTCTCAGGTGGAGATATCTTGCGTTGAGGAAGATTCAGATGATGATAGACGACCATTTGAATCAAAGGTTAGTATTATGTGTAGTTTTTTTATGCAACACATGGATTTATCTAACGATTTTTAAATGTCTGTAATTTTCGCTATACATAAATGAAGCTCAATAAACTGATCAAAATATTCCAACCGTCATACTTTAGAAACAATAGATATTATTTTACTCTGAAACATTTATGTTACATTCACCCAGTTTCAATGATGTTTAATTTCAGTTATAAATCAATATTAGTTAGGGTCTTACTGTAACGAGAGGAAATTGATTTTTGTTTGGTAAACATTTTATAACTGACTTCATTGTATTTTTTCACAGCTGGCTTGTGATATTGTTCGAGCTGCATTTGCTGATCGTGTTCAGTTGGAAGAACTTTTGGCAGAATGTAGAAGAGCGGACTTCGCTATTTCAGCCTTGGATCGCTCCCCGGTTGATCGTATGATGGAAGCTACAGACTATATTGTTGGGATAATGGCCTATGAACAAACAAGGGAAGCAAAAGTAAGATTCTATATACAGCGATTCCTAATCAGTGTTATTATTTGCTGATTTACTGTAACAGTATAATACACTTTCATAATTCTAATCAGTCAGTAATTAATATTCTGCCGCTTGGGCACCAGATAACATTTTCAACTGTTATTTCTTCTGGTTAATCACAATGTTAAGTGCATTTGTTTATTTATTATATTTTAGGAAGATTTTCAAGTGAATGATTTTTTGGCTGCTGGTAAACAACCTAATCTCAATGCTGATATGTTAACAACACTAGCCGATTGGTTAGTCGAGGTTCAAGAAAATTTCGCATTGAATCATGAAACAATACATTTGGCTTGGGGTCTTTTATATGCGTTTTTAGATCGTGGTCCACCACTTGCTCGGTAATTTTCTCTGCCTATATTCCATTAATTACTAAAATAATAATTTTGTTGACAACAGTTTTTGGATTTCTTGTGAAGTTTACTTATCGCTAAATTGTGTAAAAACGTATCAAATTCCCATCTAAACGTGTTTTTAGTTCTCAGTGTTACATTATAACTTTCGAATAATTAACGTCCTTAAACAAAAATCATGTTGCTAATCTGCACAATAGATGTACTTTTAGTCCATTGATATTGTTTGACTCATTAACTTCATTCAATCATTCATACTAATCAAAGAATGAATCCTACGTTAGAGGATTTACATTGGATTGGTTTGATTCGAATAGGTTTTATCGTTGGTTCGCAAGCAAACTCCCTAAGAATATTAACAAAATAAAATTTGAGCCCACGGATTTACTGTTTCAACTAGTTGACGTAATTGTTATTTTATTTTTTTTTTGCGTTGTTGCGTCAAGTTTGTGTGCTTATTCTGTGCTCCAAATTATTGTCTAATTAACTACATATTCTCATTTGATTTCATGTTTAAAACCCTGTTCAACGTAAATCTTACCATAATTATCAATAGTAGTTGAAAACTATTTCAAGAACCTACTGTTTAGTTTTTTGCTTTTGCAAGCTTATAACAAACTAGTGTGAATTAGCAACGTTCAGTGATACCCAGGGATGTTCACTATCTCCGTTTCTACCCAACTCTGTAATTGTCATTCTTAGATAAGTCGTTCTTTCTCTAAATCTTCCTCGATTGACCTCCTACGAAGAGATTCAGTTGTCGGATTATTCCGCCAATTCATTCTCAAATCTATTTTACTATCGCTGATACTACCGTTTTCACCACTTCGATCCTCATCTTGATAATTTACCCCACTGTTCTAATGTGTAAGAATGCGGTCAGGTACGTCGTTGTAGTAAGTTCTTACGTTTGTTATAAGTGGTTGATTGAGCATCTATATCTAATCTAATTGCTTTGGTCGCATTCGTTATTATATCTACATAAATATGTCCTGTATTTTCAAGTAAATGCCATATTTGTTGATTCTTCCTAAAATTCTTCAGCTTTTTGATGTATAGAGTTGGGTTGACACCTTTTTCTTTCATGAATACTACAGGCGTGAGATTCAGTTAATGGCGTGTGCTGCGATCATGGTTGCTTGCAAACATGAAGAGCGACAAATGCCTCATCTGAATGAATTTTTGTACATAACGGACAACGCGTATACAAAAGAAGAATTTATTGAAGCTGAGCGTCGTCTACTAGTGGCGATTGATTTTGCTGTACATCGTCCAAATCCTTATGTTTTTTTGCGTCGTTATGCTAGGGTAATTCATGTTTTTTGTGGCCTTGTTTTATAATAACAGTATTGTTTGTACTATCATAATAGTCTTTATTTTCTGATAGTTCATTGAAGATTAGATAGTGCTCATATTGGCCAGTGGTGTTCGGTCAAGAAGAAGGCTAGGACAGTTTAGATTGGTTTGTGATACTTGCCAGTGAAGTGCCCCTAAATGCCCTGATACAGCCGAGAGTGGGGAGAGTCAGCTTGCCCTCTCGAAGTGCTCTCACATGGTCACTTGCATACAACCACTGCCGGGGAAGTCCTATTCACAGCCTTTTTGCGGCGGGCATATTGTTTACGAAATTGAGAGGACGAAAAATGAATTTCCGGCACTTTAATCGGGTTGGTGGACACGGAGAGTCCACCTAGGGGAGTTGGAAAACCATGATTCCAAACCAGTGGTGCACATGAGCTCCGATATCCTAAGGGAACAAATGGCATATGAACCAATTATTGGTCACTGGTTGCCTTATGACTGCATCTCCTTACGTTACTCTACTGCCTTGTAGATTAGACCTTTAGGTCGGGTGTGGCCCCATAAGAAAACCACTTACTTCGGTCTGGGCACCAGGTCAGTATCACAGCCCTCACACAAATCGAATGACGAAGTGTGGTGCATACATATTTGGTGTCTCCTTGTACCAATATTTATGTTTTTAAATAAATAAACAGTAAAGTGAGGGATAAAAATAAAATTCCTAGGATACTTTAGATGCCTTTAACTCGTAAATGTTTTGATACTTTTCATTTATTTTTCCCTGAAATACATTTGTTCATCTTCTATTTAGATATCTTTTTCTATTTCTATTGGTTTTCTATCTTTATACTCTTCCGGCTATAGCAACTTAAATGGATACATCATTTTTTGCATTGTCTCTGTCGATTTATCTCTAACTGGCGCTGTTTATTTAGCTACAGGATCGTTAGTCACCAGACTTTGGTTACTGGTTCAATATTTTGATCTCTGTTTTTCCATAGATTGTTACGCAGTTGTGACATAAATGAATAATAATATGTAAATACAGATATATTCATTATTCCAATTCAACTGCATGCATTTACAATTGTCTATTAAATGAAATTTTATGCATTACTCTATTATTAAGAGCATAATCTCTCTTTGATATTGTCTAGGTTTTAGATGCACATAGTGGGCCAGTTCAATTCACATCACGATTTCTTTTAGAGGCTGGTATGCACAGTCATACTATTAGTTTGAAACGTGAATCACGCAAAGCTGCAGCTGTTTTGTGGCTTGCTCGAGTTGTTCTTCGTAATCCGGCTTATGCTGATTGGACACGCAGAGCTGATGTACATCAACTTAGGCACTTGATACAAAACAATCCTTTAGCTCAAGCATATTATACACATTGTCGAAATCAGAAGTCCAAGATAACCAACAACAAGGATAATGCACGATCAAGATTAAACCAAATTGTTACAGCCAATACAGATTTATCAAGATGCACTTACGATCTATCTGCTACTAATTCATGTGACTTTGAATGTTTCCAGCCTAAATTCACGGAAAAGACTTCATATAGTTTGTCTACAACCTGGTGAGTCAGTATAGTGTTTGTTTCAATGTAGTAAATACCACATATCTACTCCTACAATAGTGTAGATTCTTTTCTGCATTTTCATAGAATATTATCATCTTTAATTAGGTTAACTATTTTTCTAATTGCACTTGGTAATGCGACCTATTCTCAAGCAATCTATTATTATTTAAAGTTTATCAAAAGGTGTTAGGGACATATCTCCAAAGGTAAAAGTTAAGAACTAATCCAGTCTTGATATGAGACACTACTTAAGCGCTCTATAACTTTAAGATTTTTAGGAGACGATAATAACTTGGTTACACAAATAATTATTGGAGAAAAAAGGATGGTTAGCAATAAGACGTTAGTACCATTCTTTTTATATCATTTAGGGATATGTTTCTCGTTTTTGTCTGTTAAGTGCTATGTACTCATTCTGTTAGTCAAGCTAAGGGATATTATGCCTTAGTACACGATAAGTTGAATTTATTCGTGGTTCGCACACTTACAAAATAACAATACGCAATTGATCGATGTATCATAGAATTAGCGTATACACTTTTTTGACGGACATAGTTACCGTTATTCTATTGAATACAGTTCAACGCCATAAGTGGGTATTGTACATTTTCTACTTTTCTTGAAGTATTCATTATCTCAGGTGACAATCAACCATCTGCGATTCATTGTGGTTATCATTTGTAAAAAATATTCGGCTACTCAACTACAGTTTACAAGTATACCATTTAGGCATATCAGAAGGCGTAAACAACTTGAAACCTAACCCAAATGTTTATTGATTCAAATTACCAATCTTCACATCAGCATGATGAGAGTAAACTGCAGCTTCACCTACTGGGAATATATGTGTAGCAGTTGTGGAAATTGTGCGTTACGTTGTTGGTTCCGAAGTCGTACCTTTTCCTAGTCTTGATATGCAACCAGAAATGTTTAGAAATTGTTAATACTAACTGGCAGAAATCGCTGCTGTAGTTCTCCATCTTTTTTAAATTAGATTTTGTCACTTAAGATTTTTATTGATTGTTTCTTTCAGCTTGGTGTTGTATTGTATGCAGGTTTTTGGTATTTTTTTAAGGACGTTATCGAGTACTTAGTTGTTTGGGAATGGGTACCAGTGATAATTACATTAAACATTTTTCAATCATTCCTTTCTACGAACGCTTATACCAGTTAGTCATATACATCATGGGACATACAAAATGTGCAGTGACTCAAGTTGTTACACTATGTATACATATACATATATACACACAGGATTTAACAGAAGTTGTGTTCATAGCTGAATATATTGGGCAGTTAACAGTAAGACAAAAACAAATGAATATTCCAGAACTACACGGATAGACGTATTCATTTGAATCAATATAATGTATGTGGCTAATTATAATTCGAGTAATTCCTTTATTGCCTGTCTAAAGAGTAACATCATAATCTTGAAGTTTAATAATACTTTATTCATTCATTCTTACTTCCATTATATATGGTAAATACCACAAGAAAAACTTCGAATGGTTTTCTCTTTTATCTTATCTAGGAAAGCATTTTGATTTCTGTACAGAAAAGACAACCTTATTTTTTATTTGTGTGACGGAATTTAAATCTAATAGGGTTTCCAAGTGTTTCATTGATGGGAATCATTTTGGGCATCAATAAAAAAATCTCAATAATTTTATGTATCTCTATGATGTTTAACAGATTTCACTAAGTTTTTTCGTAATATTTTGAGTATAGATTCTAAGTTGTTTACTTCATTGATTATCTCTAACTGGGTCAAATGATACATATTCTGGTTGTGTAATATTTGCTTATTACAATTTATGTTTATGAACTCTTTTCTTCCCTTTAGTGATAATTCTGATGAGTCATCCAATGAAGGAAAATATACCAATTTTTCAACACTTGTACGGGCACCTCATTCCACTCCGAGTGGTCATAACCATATATCAACCTCTGTAATTGATTCTTTCTCTGAAAGCCATATGTTTGATGGTTTAGATCCTTCAGTTAAATCCGATCTCGAAGCACTGCGATTAGAGGAAGAACAACGTCAACCACTGTGGCCTCCAATTTTAGAGCATATAACAGGTTATAAAGAAGCTAATTTAATCCCGCTAGCTTTACGCTACCATGCAATAGCTTTAAGATTAATAGCTGAAGTTGCTCGTGGTGGACATTTGGCTGTTGCCAATGCCATTACATCTGATCAGCCTACAAATTTAAGTGTAAAACAAAGCAACGATGCAAATGTTCACATGATCGACGTTGATGTGGAAGATCCATCTAATCAGCAGAACTCACGTTGTGTATCACCCGGGGGCCATTATTTGCGTCGCCAGTCTGTTACTAAATATTGTTCAAGGTAAATTAATATTTTCCAAGTATGGTACATAGTTCTAAGTTATCCAACAATTATGTTCTAGGTTTGAGTTTTTTAATTGAAGTTCATTAGTTTAAACTTGGTTTATATAGAGAGGCCTGTTAGATTGTTTAGAAAAATTGTTTGAGATTCAATTGAGGAAATTTCTAACTCAGGTGGATGATTTTGTTGGTCGATCACGAAGTATAGAGATTTAAGTGTAATAAAGTTCTGTTTTTACTGTAGGGTGGTCGCATTAATTTACTGTTTTTAGAGGTTACTTAACTACGACGTAGTAAGTAAACAGTTGGTTGAATGTTAAATACTTTAACCCCTAACCACTGCTCCACAATTATTAAATATAGAAGCTTAACATATAGCCTAATAGCTTAGCGCGCTTCACCATAAAACTAATGGTAGTTCTGATTCATATTACGGATACAAACACACTATCATATGTCATCTAATGAGTTCAAAGTGAGCCCACAATTCGACTGCAGTAATTAGTTACTGAGTTTCATTGAAATCATGGACTGATCAATGTTAGACTACCATTGAAAACGTCCGTTGAGTGTTTATAGGTTTTCAATGGTAGTTTTACATTGATCAGTTCATAATTCTAGTGAAATTTGGATTTGACATTGAAACTTACTTACTTACTTACGCCTGTTACCCCTTGTGGAGGAGCATAGGCCGCTCACCAGCATTCTCCATCCAACTCTGTCCTGAGCCTTCCTTTCCAGTTCTTTCCAGTTGCTATTCATCCTTTTCATATCGGCTTCTATTTCCCGGCGTAGTGTGTTCTTTGGCCTTCCTCTCTTCCGCTTCCCTTCCGGATTCCAAGTTAGGGATTGAGTCGTGATGCACATTGGTGATTTCCTCAATGTATGTCCGATCCACTTCCAACGTGTTTTCCTAATTTCCTCTTCAGCTGGAAGCTGATTTGTCCTCTCCCATAAAACGCTGTTGCTGATAGTATCCGGCCAGTGGATGTTGAGTATTTTGCGTAGACAATTGTTTATAAATACTTGTACCTTCCTGATGATGGTCGTAGTAGTTCACGTTTCAGCTCCGTACAGTAGGACTGTCTTGACGTTCGTATTAAAGATTCTGACCTTGAAATTGGTTGAGAGTTGTTTTGAGTTCCATATGTTCTTCAATTGTAGAAATGCTGCCCTTGCTTTGCCAATCCTCGCCTTTACATCTGCATCCGATCCCCCTTGTTTATCAACGATGCTCCCCAGGTACTTGAATGTTTCCACCTCTTCCAGAGTTTCGCCGTCAAGTGTGATTGGTTTGGTGTTTTCCGTGTTGCTGCTGCTACATTTGCTGTCTTCATCTGCATTTGGTCGTGTGTGTAAGAGAGGAGGGCTAGTTCATCTGCGAAGTCCAAATCATCTAATTGATTCTGAGAAGTCCATTGTATTCCGTATTTCCCTTCAGATGTCGAATTCTTCATAATCCAGTCAATCACTAGAATGAAGAGGAATGGGGAGAGTAGACAGCCTTGTCTGACTCCGGTCCTTACTGGAAATGCATCTGTCAGCTGTCCTCCATGCACCACTTTGCACTGTAGTCCATCGTATGAGTTTTGGATAATGTTGACAATCTTTTCAGGAACTCCATAGTGTCGAAGAAGTTTCCATAATGTTCTCCTGTCCACGCTGTCAAACGCCTTCTTATAGTCAATGAAGTTGACGTATAGTGATGAGTTCCACTCAACTGATTGTTCAACGATGATCCGTAGTGTCGCAATCTGGTCTGTGCACGACCGATCCTTACGGAATCCAGCCTGATGATCCCTAAGTTCAGCGTCTACTGCGTCTTTCATCCGATTCAGCAGCACTCTGTTGAAAACTTTTCCTGGTACTGATAACAAACTGATGCCTCTGTAGTTCTCACATTTGCTCAGATCTCCTTTCTTTGGTATCTTGATGAGATATCCTTCTTTCCAGTCCGTTGGCACTTGTTCCTCTTCCCAAATCTTCTTGAATAGAAGGTGAAGCATATTTGCAGTTATTTCAATGTCTGACTTCAGTGCTTCTGCTGGTATATTGTCAGGTCCTGCCGCCTTCCCACTTTTGATTTGTCTGATGGCCATCTTGACTTCTTCGATCGTTGGTGGAGTGATATCTGTTGGAAGGTCAGTGTGGGCTGCTTCTTTGTTCGGTGGATTCAATGGGGCTGGTCTATTCAGCAGTTCCTCGAAGTATTCTGCCCATCTTTTCCTCTGTTCTTCAATATCCGTGATTGTCTTTCCTTCTTTGTCTTTGACTGGTCTCTCTGGTTTGCTATATCTCCCTGCCAATTTCTTCGTTGTATCATATAGTTGTCTCATATTCCCTTCTCTTGCAGCTTTTTCCGCCGCCGTTGCTAGTTCTCCCATATATTTCTGCTTGTCGGCTTTAATGCTTTTCTTCACTTCTCTGTTTGCTTCTGCGTAGTCTGCTTGTGCTTTGACTTTCTCTGCTCGTGTTCGGCTGTTGTTAATTGCTAGTTTCTTGTTCTTCCTTTCTTGAATTTTGTCCAGGGTTCCCATAGAGATCCATTCCTTGTGATGATGCTTCTTAGGACATTGAAAGGTTAAAAAAAAACGTCATGGGACTGTTTTTCCACTGTGCATTAAAATGCATCTACCATAAAATTGCGAGATTTCATCTCTGTTAACAATTTAAGATGTAGCTGATTGGCAAAACGTATACCAAAAAAGGTATATCCTATTTCTATTAAAGATCAATCATCATGGTTTCTGCACTCTGACATCAATTACATAAACTGCATACTTTACTTCGATCTAAAATATAGGTTTTTTCAACACCTTTAACGTAATACATAAAAGAGAATATCCTATACACGATATTTATTTTGTTATGCCGTTAAATAGGTTTATTACCTGCTAATAATTTTTAGATCAAAATATATGCTGTCATTTCGCTTCCCAATTTCAATTGTAATAAAGTATCTATTTTATCTTCTAACTTTTCTTACCCGTAAGCTTTTTTTTTATCTGTTTTAATACAGTGCATTTTTGAGTGTCGCTGATGCCTATCCTCAATTATCATTTGACAATTTTGTCCCATATTTCCCATCTATCCAATGTGCAGAAACATGTACATGCTTTGTTTGTACAAATCTTATTCGTCGTTCTAATTAGTCACTACCATTAGTACTCTAATTAATTCTTCGTACTACGCATATTTATATAATTGTCTTTCGTATGTATTTTATTCCTTATATAATTATTTCGGAAGGTGAATTCAATTATTCGGTATTCGTAAAGTGTTAACGTGATTTTCTTTATTTTTCATTGGTCATCTCTAAATTCTTCTGTATTAAAGCAGGAACATGTCCCTTTTTTGTAATGTCTTTTCCTTCTGTAGTTTTCTTTTTAATCTATATTATTTATTTTATATGTATTAGTAGTCATAATTATTATTGTGGGTATTTTTTTAAAATAGCAAATTAGGATTTTCAATTTTAAGGTACCAATATATGTGGTCAAGTATTTTAAGACTTATTCTTAGATAATGGTATAATTATTATTGGCAAAAACATGCTTTATGGTCGTTCCTCATTTTATATCTTTCATATGATTTGTTAGCCTCATTATCGATGTGGTTTTTTTTTTAATATATGTAGTCTTAATCAGCTGATTTTAGTCACATTCAATTTTTAATGGTCTTACCTTTCTGTGGAGCGATCAAATAATTATATGACTACAAAAATTTATTGTTGTTGTTTTAGTATCCTTATTGTATTCAATGAAACGAGAAAAAAAAAGTCGAAATTTCACTGTGTAGTTGTACTTTTTTATACGTCTATGCGATCTATTCAATTTTATGTTAACAATGTATACATTTTCAAATTATGTCATTACTGATGATTTTGTGTATTTCCAAATATGTTATACGTGGAATTGAATTGAAATTCCTACCCTAAATAAAAAAAAATAAAACGCAAGTACAGTGAAAGGCATCTGGTTCATTTAGTTAAGTAATGAATCCAGTATTTGCTTTTCATCGAATTACATCTCTTCGTCAAATGTTTGACTTTATTTAAACTTATGTTTATGTGTAACGCATGTAACACTTATTTATTCGTTTTTGGGTTGAATTATTCCCCCTGGTTCTATACAAACATTTGTGAAACATGTTCCATTATTATGGCACTTTTCCGTGTTTGTTTAAATTCAGCAATAAAGGGACTATGAAACCAGAAAAAAAGAGTCAGTCATGATCAACGAGCCTGGAACATATGTGCGTTTGCCTAAATTAATATATTACAGCAGCTTTCGAAGAGGAGGTTAATAAGATTAGTACTAAATCAATCGAAATAATCGTACTACTAATGATAGTGAAAAAGGCCAAATATCGATAACAGGGTTCGAGAAGGCTAGATGAAAAAGAATGCTAGGATTTGAGACCTGTATGAATACAAAGACTGAGTACTACCTCTGCGCCATGGTGATTATTTTTGAACCATTCTCCTCGTCTCTTATCACTAGTCATGGTTGTCGCCCAAACCACCAGGTAGTGTGTATCTACCAACACTACTTAAACCAACAGTCAATGTATTAACTGATTCCACGTTTTGGTTTGACTGAACTTTTAATCTTCGTACTACCTACTTGAACAATATACGAGCTAGCAGTAGTTTGACATGCATAGTACACGTCCCGGCCATCTTAGTCAGTGGAAATTTACAATCTTAAACCCAGTACTGCTTATCTATCATCACCAGTACTACTTTGGTTCCATTGTTTACGAACAGTGCTTTAAAGACCCCTATAGTCGAATAATAGTAACCTAGGAATGCCGTTTACTTCTGAAGACTACATTTTACATTCATAAGATAAAGCAAATCGAAGTGATAAGTAAAATTCTCGTCCTTTGGTTGGTAGACAGTCATCTCGTCCAAAAAAACAGATGGGGCAAGTTGGTAATAGGAAGTGTCCTTCCTTGATTCCGAGGCAATGTGGTCGACGGTCCTGATTCCTTCAACTCTTATCAGTATGTGCGATGACACAAACTGTTCATGCGTTAACATTTTACATATATCATGAACATACCTGAATTTTTACTCTGGTTGACTGAAACTGCTTTGTTCAGCATCATTGATTATGACTGTCATCTACGTAATACATCTCGATTAATGGATTTTCAAAAAAAGACCTTAACCTGAAGAGTTAGACGGAGAAAATATAATTACCGGTAGGACGCGTTTGAAGTAACTGATTAATAGAAGTATAGACGCTAATCCTAATGAACATCGCTCGAGATAGACAGTTCTCGGTAAGGTTTTCGAGTAACTAACCACAAGGTCTGTGTACTCAGTACGTCTTTTAATTACATACACTATAACAACCTGCCGATGAGTGGGTTCAGATACAACCACCACCACCATTGTCGGGCGTTGATGAGTATTCTTGTCTTAAAACCTGACAAATAAGTATTTGGTCGATTTATCCACATCCGGGTACTAGCGTGGTTTTCCAGAGTTTTTTTTTATAAACTCCAGATAAACGTCTGGTGATTATGGCTTTTAATAGTTTCGAAGCCATATAATCAAAGTGACTCCTCTGTGATGATCGTAAAAGGATTTCAGTCCTTGATTGTAAATCTAGGATGTCAGTAAATGTTAAAATTACCTTACCTAGACGTTATAAAATGTCTGGTGTGAAGATCGAATAGATTTTATTCAAAATAAGTTTAATACTTTCTCGTGGCAACTGACCTCATTTGACTAGCTCCAACAGTTATTTTCCAAATCAATATTTTAGGTCTGAACTGAGTAATGTTTTTACTCACATAGACTATCGATTAATTGGATTGTACCCAGAAGTTGTGTTCTTTAGTTTGGACTATCTTACCTAATCTGTATGATTTCTAATATGAACTTTGGGGATGCCCAACTTATTTAATGCAATTATCAGTTACTAGTAGTTAATAATGAGGAAATCTACACTCATTTCTTATGAATAGTACCATCTATTGTTAGATGTGTTTCTTTAGCTACCTAAATGTTCCAGTAACTTTTGTCACAAATAGACTATTGGAAATGGAAAGCACAATAGGTGTGTTTTCAATTTTCGTGTAATTCATTGTTATTTAACACCACCCTAAAAGCTACTGGGTTTATAAACAAGGTACCTGTCGTCATAATGTAAACAAAGTTTTCTTCAAAATTAATTTGTAATATTCAAACACTAAATCTTTTTCATCAACTCACTTGCTTTGGAATTGTGATTGAAGTAATGGTCGTCAAGATTTGATCACTACACCTATCTTGTTATTTTTTCGAATATTGACAAAACATCCACGAAGGTAATTAATATTTATTCAGGTGATAGCATATTGTAAGCTTTCAAAACAAACGACTGAATTTATACAGACTTCAATTCAACCAAATCAGAGTCATAAGTTTAACCAGATTTTACAAGTCTGTCAAAACTTGAGTTAGTCTCAGATTCTGTTCATGTTTGTTGTGTATTAACCCATTAAGATCTGAAATCGAAGACATAAACGATAATTCCATTATCTAGAATCTGTATAATTAATCATATTCTAAAACAGAGTGATCCCAAACTTGCAAAAAGACTTCAATTTCAGTGGGACGGTTTCGTGAAGTAGGAAACTACTGAAAATCTAACTTGAAAGAATAATACAATCATCATGAACTTCATGTCTTAAAGGAAATTACAAGACAATAATTAAATGGACTCTAGAGATTCATATGTATTGAACATGACTATCATGTGGACATCGTTTCATGATGAAATCTGTCTTCGAATCAAACTGATCTTTACATATCACCCATCTAAACAATTATTGTACACAGTTATTAAAAGTGGTATTAAATGACAAACGGTTCTTTTTAGTAATGAGTATCATGGTACTAATTATGAGTCTAGAAATTCCCAGGTTCAATCGTATGTAGAATTGTCAGTGTACACTCGAATGTAGTGATCTTAAGTTGGGTTTAAATAGCTGTAATCATAATCAAAAACCTCGGGTAGAAGTGGTGTTCGAATTTCTCCACATGCAGTTCACAGCTTGTCCCGTACACCTTGATGTTGGTTGGTCCTTGTTGATCTTAAATCTGTCATTGTTTACTTCTTCGTTTTGGTTGTATCTTCCATTGATTTAATTTTTGTCCTTGCACGAACATCAATTAGCAGTCAAACATCATGATATGTCTTCACTTATATAAATGCACGTGGACAACTGTGGACACACATTCGACTGGAAAAATGTGGAGAATTCGGATAGAGGCAATTCCGAAAACACCAGATAATTTTTAGAAGCTTGATACTGAAGTCAATCAGCAATATACAAGCACATTGAAATCAATCCAATTTATCAATCAGAAGAATTATGCACAAACATAGGACCACAAATCAAATCAGTGGGAGATACAATCGAAACAATGACAGATTTAAGATAAACAAGGACCAACCAACATCAAGGCGTACAGGACAAGCTGTGAACTGTAGGTGGAGAAATTCGAACACCACTTCTACCCGAGGTTTTTGATTATGATGTCGTTCAGAAGAACGACGAAAGCCATACGACCAAATCATCCAGCTCGGAGAACAAAACTCGATCAGAAAGTGTTGGCTATTCTTCAACAGTTCTCTAACCAATATCAGTCATTCGTTATTATCATGGTCAATCTAGATTCATATGACCGGAGGAATAGTTTTATTAGAACTAAAGATTAATCATTTATATGTTTTGGAGAAACTTCCCAGCTTTTAATATATTCACCAAAATAGGTTAGTCAAATGTATCACAGCAATAATGAAACTTTATCACCCACAGTTTGTCTTGATCGTCTGACTGGTATTCAGCATAAGAAGGACAAAGCATAAGGTATATTATCATCTTGTTCATTTAGTGATGATGGGCATTTTTCTTAGTCCTTGTTTGAAAGATATACTCATTCTGAAAGTAAATCTCTATCAGATTTGTTCGATTCTAAGTAAAAATACGAACCGAGTATTCAACAGGTCGGTTTTTTTTATTACTTGACCGATTGTTGTAGACTTCAGTCTGCGCTAATGACACTAAGTCACTTTCTGTATACTCCTAAAATTGGTCGTGCTATACAATAGTCACCCGTTTCCGAACCATTAATCAGAAAGACTAATGAAGTACTTTGCATGCTCCGTATTATTTTGAGATTCAGAGACTCACGTGACTACATAAATTAAGCAAAATTCACGAAGCACTGTATAATAAATCTTAATAGGCAACAGAACTGGGACATTTCTGAAACAAAAGTGATTAACAGTGTTAGTGTTTACTAACCATGATTTCTGAACAATAAGTATTCCACAACGTTTAGCTAATCAAATATGTATTTACAAGTAGAATGATATAAGGATAACATTAACCAATTGTTCGATGAGATATACACAAAATATATCAACTGACTACGTCGAAAATTATTCCTGAAGTTTCGCAATTTTGTTTTCTCACATTTCCATAACAAATACTATTGTAAAAAATCTTATAATATCAATGTACTTTTAGTGGATTGATAAATGTTTTATTCCTTATTGAGATCTAGCCCTATGTTACGTGACCTTTACTAGCAACCTAATAGATTAATCATTGATTGGTGTAAACTTGAATTCATTTAGTATTGTTTGTTTAAATCTTCCCATCGATGTGTTAGGACTGCAACTGGTCAGTCTCTAATTGGCATATGTGCATACTGTGCGTATTGCCTCGATATAGCCTTAATTCACAATCATTGTAAGCAAAGATGGATAGTGTCTAACAGTGGAATCCAGGATGCGCGTTTCGTCCTATTTGGGACTCGTCAGCTGGATGTACCTGCATCTCAGAGTTGATGTTCACTCTTGAACTCGAACCCCATTGCATAAGTAACTGGCTATTGGGGCTCAGTGGCCGAGTGATAACGCAATGGCGTTCGAAGTGAAAGGTACTGGGTTCGAGTCCCAGAGTGAACAACAACTCTGAGATGCAGGTACATCCAGCTGACGAGTCCCAAATAGGACGAAACGCGCGTCTAGCTGGATTCCACTGCTAGCCACTATCCACCTTTGCTTACAACGGTATAAACTTGATAATCTTATACATATTAACCTTTGATTTCATCAAATATTGATAATATAGATCTAAAGATATTCTCATAGATTATGTTCAAGTTTTACAATGTAGTATTGATGCGTCATTTGTCATGTATACCCTCTTCTTTTTGGATGAATAAAGGATAA